AGTCAGTTATCTGCTTGCAGGCAACTCATAAATCTGTAGGTTTTACTAAAGTTCAAGAATTAACTGTAAGCTTTTAGCTAAGGAGAAGATGGTCAGTGAGTGCAATGTACACAGTAATAATCTATCAAAATTTTTATGATGTCAAAGACAAACATCCTAACCCATGCTCCCACCTGTCAGGTGGGAGAATCATAAGAGCATTTGGAACACCCATGACTGGAGACCAAGCCTAGGAACAGGGATTAGGAGAAGAATATATAACATATTCCTCAAAAACACAAAATAGAAAAAAAATATAGTGGCACAATAAAAATCAGCACTGTGTGCCTGAAAAATAAATACTCTAAATGGCAAGGCAATAATTACAAAAACAATAAAGTTGCAATGCAAGACTTGTTACAAGTAAGCACTTTACATTTCATTGACTGAATTTGTGTTTCTTAAATGCATGAAAATTGTCATTTTCTCATTACACCCCATCAAGATTCTTATGTCAGGTGTATTTTGATAGCTGTACTTACTAAAAATAGGACTAGGTTGCTAATTGCCTTTTACTGTCAATTTTGCATAAACCTGAAAAATCTGGCAACTTCAGGGCCAGATTCTGGCCATTGATTTTTGAGAGTTGAAGGAGTTTATATAGTGTAACCTTATACTACTGAAATCAAAACATGAATTATGTCACAATTAACTCTCATTATATTTAGGCTTTCAAATATTATGGTTCAATTCACAACGAAAATGATATCGGACCATTTGAGCTGAATCAGTGACATTTTTTCAGAGATTGATGGAAACTGAAATAATTAAGACTCTATGTGTGTTAGAATAGCTTCTTATAATAACTTAAAAAATCAAGCCTAAAATTGAAGCTTAAATTTTGCAGAAGTATTTTAATAGATGTTTATACCTTGATCTTGGACGGCGGCGGACAGCATAAGACTGTGCATTTTCTTGACCTGTTCAACATCTTGTGCTATTTTATCGATGTTTCCACGTATCGTAGCGACCTTAAACGACGAAGATTGATAAATTAAAACAGAAGCTACATTTTGATCTTCACTCCATTGCACAAATTAGCTTATTTTCAGTTTAAGGGTTTAAGGAAAGCGTAAAAGCGGAACTTACATGTTGAAAGAAGTTATCCATAAAAGTGTTTTCAACGTTAATCGTAGTTGAAGGTTCATCGTCGTCTTGTGATTCATCTTCATCGACAGGAGGTGCCTAAAAAACCAAAAGTTTCGATTAAACCAAGTTGATCTGTTGCATCCAGATGTGTCACGAGCTCCATCTACACGTACAAATAAGTTTTTTTCTCGAGGGAACTTTCGAGACTCAACGAAGCTACTAAATCATCTGATACTTTGGAACAAAAAGTTATACTAACAGTATTTTTTAAAGCTTGTAGCCGGTCTCTCATCCTGAAAATCCGAATAAATACAACTAAATAATATGGTACAAACTCAAACCACCTCCCAGAGTCGATTGAATGCAGCTCTCTTTGCCAGCGGTCTACTTTCGGAAAAGTTTTACCATCAGGGAGTGGGTGGGGAGGGGCGAGGGGATGGAACATAACATTTTTAATCTCTTTTAAGACAAACCGATCGATCCCATACAAGCCTTTGTAAATAACCGTTTGTAACACAACACCGCTCGCAAGCAAGAGTCACGTCCGCGTTCATGTAATGAGTTTGAGCCGCCTGTGTTAAAACGAGTAGTAAAAGGCGGTTGGTTTGATATAAAAAAAATCTCTCGCCCTCTTGGATTATTAATGGCAAGTATTTGTTTTGTGTTGTTGTTGTTTTTTTTCGACAACAGGGATTTGGAAACGAAACACTTCCTATAATATGGCATTCTCTCTTGGAGCTAGGATGACTAAAGCCCGGGNACAAACCGATCGATCCCATACAAGCCTTTGTAAATAACCGTTTGTAACACAACACCGCTCGCAAGCAAGAGTCACGTCCGCGTTCATGTAATGAGTTTGAGCCGCCTGTGTTAAAACGAGTAGTAAAAGGCGGTTGGTTTGATATAAAAAAAATCTCTCGCCCTCTTGGATTATTAATGGCAAGTATTTGTTTTGTGTTGTTGTTGTTTTTTTTCGACAACAGGGATTTGGAAACGAAACACTTCCTATAATATGGCATTCTCTCTTGGAGCTAGGATGACTAAAGCCCGGGGAGGTACTGCCATATATGGGCTATATAGGTATGTGCCGCTGTGAAGGGTATGTTTTTCAAGCAGTTTACTCTAGGATAGGGTATATAAATCAGAGCGTTTGGGTCTAGAATAGGGTATCATTTTTTAGGAAACTGATCAGTTGGTTGAAGATTTTATCTAGACTAGGGAAACAGCTACTCTGGGATAGGGGGATTTGGGGAGTTTACTCTAGTATAGAGTGGCAAAATTCAGCTGAACTAGCTCTGGCATAGGTTAAGGGTTCCAGCGGCACATCCCCACCCAGAAATTCCTAAAGTACCCCCCCCCCGGGGGACTAAAGCGGGTAAGAGACTTGATACAATCGATAATACAAGATTAAAATAAAGATAAACAAGAAAAGTATAAACCTTTATAAACTTATTTTTATTTTATTTTGTTTTGTTTTCCATAATAAAAGTTAAAACTTTTATTGTGGAAATCATCATTACTATTCACAAAACAATACCCAAACATGGTGGCCCATTCGGTTACACAAAATTGACCTTAACATTAAACTGCATAAAAGAATAAGGATACCAAACCATCCTCACGTTGGGGTTAGCCTGAATAGAGCACTCAAGTGTGACGTCATAAAAATGAAACAATGTCTAAGAGGCCTACTTGCCAAAAATGATCATTTCGGGGCAACTTGTCTCTGAGATCGTAACCCAATTATGCTTAGAAAACTCCATACAAATCCTTCTAAATTTTTTTCGGCCGAACCCCCAAAAATTAGAAGGGTTTGTATGGAGTTTTTGGACCTTGTTACTTCTTGGGCATTGTTCTTTCAGAATTTCCTGAAAAATCACATAATTTCAGAAATTTTATTTTTATGATGTCATCACTTTAGAACTCTATAACAGGCACTTTATGATCCAAGTGAGGCGAATGCGGCTTTTTCACTTTTCCTATATGCAGGCTTCGTTGGGGGAGGGGCTAAGTCTTAGCTTCCTT